GAGGACAAGATAGCTCTAGTCAAAAGACGTATTTTCTGACCAGGACTCACCTGCTCCAAGGAGACAAAAGGCCACACAGTGGAGCAGCCCGGGAGCCATGGCAGGACCAACAGGAATGGAGCTTCTGTCTGCTCCAGACTCTGATCTCTGGGTGGAGAGATGGGGGTGCAGTCTCTCTGGTCCCTGACAGGTAGATCTGCCTGCGATGACTGCTGTTGGCTTCACCAAGGCAAAGGTCACTCCTTGTTGTGATCTTACATACAGCTTCTGGCTTGGCAGCAGAACCCGGGCTTGGCCAGATCACGTGTGGAGCAGAGGTGGTGCTTCCTCATGTTGCCTCTCTTCCTATATCTGCCCCATGCTCATCTGGGCCTTTCGCTCCTCATTTCTTACACCCTGTAAGGCAGGTCAAAGGTTCCTCAACACAGGAAGAGCTTTTGCTAAACTATTATTTATGAACCTCTTGAGAGAATGTCTTTGTGTCTTGCTGTTGGCATCAGAGATGGATGACTGATGGCTGCAAATGATTCCCACCTTAATATAGAAGTCAAGCCCTGCAATTCCTCTATTTATACCCACACTGCAGAGAGTATCAAGGACATTCTCTACCACTCTCTGCTATCAGTGACACCATAATGCCTCCTTGTGGCCAATAGAAAAGCGTCTAGAAGCATCTCTCCTTCAGTCCCTGTATTTTCAACTCCGACTCTGAACTCAGGGTGCTCTCCAGGTTCCACCTGTGTTTCCCCTCCTGGGACCCATAGTGTTCCTACTCCAGGTAGCAAGGTAGATGGCCATAGTCCTCAGCCCAGTCCTTTCCCATCTCTTAGGGATCACCATACCTTCTTGCTCGATTCATAATGTTTTGAAAACTGTTGTTTCATATATTATGTTTGCTTGTTTTAGCTGTTTCAAGTAGGAGGTTAAATCGACTTATGTTGATCCATCTTGGGTGGAAGCAGAAGTCCACACCCAGGACCGTATGAATTTCTTCCTGTTGGGTCCCCAAGAGTTTCAGTGGTTATAGACCTTTTTGTCAGTTTCTGGACATATGGTTTCCACCACACAGGAAGGGTAATATTTTGTTCCACAAACTTAAAAGACATAGTCTAGAATTTCAGTTTCTCTCTGTTAACTTTTCCGTTTTATCTAGCACTTAAAGTCCTGACCAAACACTCACTTTTCTAGCCAGATTTCAGGGTCTTTGTGTTATAATAACTTTTGGTCTATAAAGCCTGTGACAATTTGGAAGCTTCAGGATGAATGCAGGAGATGTCATTATAGGTCCTGTGTCATCTCTATCATATGGGCACTAAAAGCCAGCCTCAACTGTGAGGCCTAGATTTGGACTGAAACCTGGTAGGTTCCCATAGCTTTGGTTCTTCTTTGCTCTGCCTATAAATTCTCTTTTTTTCTTCTAACTGGTGAATTTCTTTTTCTTTGTAGATTACCTATATTTTGTGTAGTAGGTGAGCGGTATTTCAAATTTAGAAAGAAAAATGGACAAAGACAAGGGTAACTATCTTCTTCCTGTTCTTCCTCTGTAGTTTCATCCTAAATAATCAGAGGTACATTTTACAACTTCCTCCTTCCTTTGTACAAATATATGCAAGTGTATTAAAATTAAATAGGGAATTCTACTGATTTAATTTTTTTCTTTTTTTTAAGATTTATTTCTTTATTTGAGAGAGAGTGAGAGTGTGCAGGAGTTGGGAGAAGGACAGAGAGAGAGGGAGAGAGATAATCCCAAGTAGATTCCCCACTAAATGGGCAGCCCCTTGCAGGGGCTCGATCTCATGATCCTGAGATCATGAGCTGAGCCAAAGTCAAGAGTTGGATGCTAAACCAACTGAGCCACCCAGCAGCCCCTACTAATCTAATTTTTCTTAAATGACTTTATAAACCATACAAATCATGTTCCCCTTGACAGTTTTTCCTGATCATCTCTACAAAACAAGCAAACATGTTTGGTTTTCTTTTAACTTTTTCATGCCTGTGAAATGAAGCACTCTACACATCAATGAGATCAGATCATACATTCTAGACATTCTGGAACATACTTTTTTTTTTTTTGGTGCTTTTTTAGTCATCAAGAATTTAACTACAATTAGGGGCACCTGGGTATCTCAGTGGGTTAAGCATCTGACTTTTGATCCCAGCTCAGTTCTTGATCTCAGAGTCATGAGCTCAAGCCCTGCACTGAACTCACCCAACGTGGAGCCTACTTAAAAAAACAAACAAACAAAAACCTTAGCTATGTGATTGATGGTTGAAACTAACAAGCAATAAAAAAACACCAACTCTTTTAATAAAGGAAAAGTTGACAGGCCTCCTAGTTGAGATGGCCTTAAGGACCTCAAGACATAGTCTATGATTGTAATGCTTCTTGATGTGAGTCAGAAACATTATAGATTCTCTGTGCCACTCAAAGAGGCAGAGAGTAGACATCATTCCTTTTCCCCCATGCCCAGATACGAAAAGTACTAATACAGTAGAAGGAGAAGAGGAAAAGTCAAATATAAAGTATTATAGTTTCTAATGGGGTTGAAGAGTTGCTGCTAGGTAGTACCAGGGATGGAAGGAGAGGAAGTTGTGGGAGAGAGTAGGATGTTTGAGAGAGTGATTTGGGAGGTGGTTCAAGCTATTTGTGATTACAGGTCTAGAATATAAAGAGTGGATGTATCTGAGATGCCTTGGGGGAAATGATCATTGAAGTGAGCAAATGAACACACTGAGAAGCCCAATCATCATCTAGGCCATTTTGCATGCCATCTAAGATGTTGGGGGTTTTAAGGTAGGAGAGATGAGAAATGCTTGAGAAGCAATAATGAAAAGTAAAGGGACACCAGTGCCTATGAGGGTCACTCACAGAAACCAAAAATACCACTAATTAATGCCAGTAAGAGGAACTCAATTCCTTACCATTCCACTTCCACTGGGAAGTCAGGATCTGGGAACAGCAAATCTAGGATTATGACATAGATTTTGGGTTATAGAACAATAGTCACATGATCTTGAATATCCAATGAAACTTAAAACACAGACCTCTTAGAGCCAAATGCCACTGAAGCATTGCTGACTGCATTACAATCTTACATGTATGCACGTGGGTTGCCATTGAAATAGCTGTGAAAAAGAAAACTGCAGAATTTGAGAATTACCACAACCAGGATGAATTGCGAGATGATGTCTATGAATTTCTGACAAAATCCAGGGAAGAGTTTGTGGTCCTGGATCCAACAAGGACATACCCAGAGAAGTCAGGGTGTGCATTTGGAACTGGTTGAACAAAGTATCTCGGGGGAGACATCATTTGGGAACTCTGTTTTTCATGAACCAGGCACCTGGCAGTGGATTCTCAGCTTTCTGAATGGCTGACGTGCATCAGGCAGCAGCAACCAGTGATGAGTAGATTAAAGAGGCAGACCCCCAGGTGATAAGGACAGAAAGAATTCAAATATCTCTGAAGAGTACAGACTCATCCAAAGAAAAGAGTATTTGGGTCTACCATGTTCGCTTTTCTATCCTTTTAGTTCTTTGCATGTGTGATATGGAAATGGAATGTGGAATGTTACATGGAAATTGAAATTACTAGTATTAAAAAATGAATCTTGGGGTTTCTGCCTTCAGCTCAGGTCATGATCTCAGGGTCCTGGGATCCAGCATCATGTCGGGCTCCCTGCTCTGCTGGGAATCTGTTTCTTTCTCTCCCTCAGCCCCCTCACGTGTGTGTGCGCATGTGTTCTCTCCCATAAACAAACAAATAAACAATATCTTGGAGTATCAAATGGTACGGCCACTCTGGAAAATAATCTGGTTGTGTCTTTCAAAGGTAAAAACACACTCACCAGGTAACCCAGTAGTCTCACTCCTAGGCATAAATGTATCCCAGAGAAATGGGAACGTATGTCCACCCAGAACCCTGGGCACAAATGTTTATACCTACTAGCTTTATCTGTCATAGTCAAAAATTAGAAACAACCAAAATGTCCCACCGGAGGTAAACAGCTAAACAAATTCTGGTACATCCATGTGCTGAAACACAACTCGGCAATAAAAGAAATGAACTCTGGATAAATGCAGCAACTTGGCTGAATCTCAAGGGCAATATGGTGAGGAGAAAAAGCCCATCTCAAGAGGTCACCTACTATAGGATTCCATTCATAAAACAGTCTCAAAATGACAACATTATAGATATAGAGAGTTGATCAGTGGTTCCCAGAGGATAGGGGCGATGTGCGTGATTGCGTGCACACACGTGTGTGTGACATTATAATGGGAGATTTTGGGGTGTTGCAACAGCTCTGCATTTTGACTGTGGTGGTGACTGTGTGAACCTATATGTGTGACAGAAATTATGTAGAACTGCTTCCATACTCCTCATGGCCAATGTCAACTTCATGGTCTTGATATCTTGAGTATGATTATATAAGATGTGACCATGGGTGGAAACCGCATGATGGGTGACTGGGCTCCTTTGTTCTGCTGTGCAATTTCCTGTGAAACTACAGTGATTTTTAAATGAAAAGTTTAAAAAAATGGGAGTGTGGAAAATAATTGTGCTGCAATTAAGGAAGACTGTTATAGAAAACCAGGAACAAGGAGGGTTGGAAGAAATGGGAAGGGCAGGGTGGGTCTGGGGAGACGATCACGCCCCTGTAACTATTCTGATGAAGGCAAAGGTGGGAGGGAGCACTGACCACTAACTCAAGAGAACTCGGGCTATGTAAGGCTTTGTGACAGCACGGTTTTGGGTTCACTTAATCACTCGAAAGCCCAGTGGGTGACATTCACCATCAGTCTTGGACTCAGTCACCCTCTGTGAGAATTTGTGAAGAACTCCAGAGCCAACCCCCTATTGTCTTCCTACCAAAAGTTTTCTACTGTGATACTTGGGAAGTATCTGTTCTAGCCTTCCCCAGAGACATAGAGAACACTAGACCCATATCCTTGTACTGACAGGGGAGAACCTTCAAAAGACTGCTGAGGACAGCTGTGGGCTAGAGGGAGAATGGGAAGCTTGAGGGTTTCTGTACAGGGAAGGAGTGACTATGCAGCTCTGTGTCTACACTGCTGGCACACAGGTATGTGGCTGAGTCCTGGGGTTCTGTGGGCTTGATCTTCAGAGTGGATAATGATTTTTTAGACATCTCTGCTGAGAACCGTTCCTTGGGCATCCCCGAGTCATTTTTGGAGATTGATTGTTGAAGTAGATCAGTAGCTTCGGTCCCTGCACTGAGGTCTGACTGTACCAGTAAAGGGCTGCATGACCAGAAATAGGCTGGCATTTCAGGGTTACTTCTTGTCCCATCTTTGTCACCTTGTGCCTGGGTGTCTGGATGACTCCAGCATCTGTAAACTCTGTGGAAAGGGACAGAAAGTGGGGACAGAATGAAGAAAATTAATGGACTTATAACTGGAAATATCTAAAAATGCTGATTGTTTGTTTATTTCTGGGCACTCACCTTTTCCCAGGAGACAAAGGGCCACACAGCAGAGGAGCCTGGTGGCCATGGCAGGGTGGCCAAGAGGAGGCTTCACTAGGATGAGGCCCTTGAGGGCATGAACAGAGGGGCGGGGCATCCTAGTTCCTCTTGGTTCCACAAGGTGGAGAGTGGCCCAACAGTGGTATTGCTCTGTGTCCCTGCTCATGGGACCTCCTTCCAAAAGTGAGCATTAATTCTCCACAGAAGATTGACTGGATTAGATCATAACTGCTATAGGATGTGTTTGCCTCATTCAAAGCACCTTCCTCAATTGTACCTGTCACAGCCCTGAGCCTCCAGCTTTCTGCCTTCTTGATGAATCCCATGTCCACTGCCTGCTGGACATTTCCACTTGGGTGTGTCAACAGCACTACAAATTCTGACATCAATAAATTACTTTTCAAATCTCAAGACTTTCATTATTCCTCTCATGGGCAATCTCTACCTCCCAGACACAAAATCAAAATAACTCATTTTTTAATTAGGGCTTTGCCTCAGATTTCTTTCAGAAGTATTTTGACTTGGCCACTGTGCTGGGAAGGGACCTAAATGGAAGCCCTGGGAAGAGACAGGATTGTGATGATGTTATTCCTAGTGAAGGCTAGAGACCAAAGCCCTTGTGCTGTGTGATTCCCCCTAGCCCACAGCACAGCGCACTTCCTGTAGCTGCATTTCTATACGTAGGGAATTTTACTTCTCTATGGTGAGCTCAATCAATATGACATTAATCCTTCAGGCACTGGTACGGATTGTGTATGATTAATGAGAGGTTTAGCTCTCCTTGAAGATCCACAGTGAAGTACTCTCCAGTTAATCCTAATCTTCTCATGCCTAGCTTACCTCTAAAAATTTCTTCAGTGATTAAAACCTAACTTTACCCCTCTACTAAGGTAACTAATATCCACAAACTCTTGCTGGAAATCTGGAAAATCCCCTGGTTCTTGGGGTATGAATAGTAATGAGATTTTTTTCCATAGAGAAAATGGAACACATGAGCTCCAGGTTTCTGCTGTTAGTACAGACTTATATACTCCTCCAGCTTCCCTAACAGGGAGTCTCTCAAGGTGAGAGAAAGATACGATTAGCCACTTGGAAGTTATGATAGTAACATTTCTTTTTTTTTTAAGATTTTATTTACTAATTTGAGAGAGAGATAGAAACAGAGAGCACTACCAAGAGGAGAGGGAGAAGCAGACTCCCCGCTGAGCAGGGAGCCCGATGTGGGACACCATCCCAAGTCCCTAGGATCGTGACCTGAGCTGAAGGCAGCCACTCAACTGACTGAGCCACCCAGGAGCCTGATAGTAACACTTTCTTAACAGTAGCTAATCAGCAGTGCTTATTCCCTGGTCCTGTGTTTATCTGTTTCAAGGCAGCATCCCACAACCAGAGCGGCATACAGAGCTTAGGAGACACAATATTAACACAGATACATGGAAAGCACCCTGAAATCAGGGCATAGTGTTCCAATATGGATTTTTGTACCCTGCCCAGGCTCTATCACCTCTAGGATACAATACACAAGATCCTAAGACAGACAGGCTTCAAACACATAATGAGTTCAGAAAGTAAGTGGGCTAACTCCTTCCTCGGTGCCCTGATCTTTAGTGGAGACAGAAGTCAGACTTAAAGTCACTGTAGGCCCTGGTGATGTTAATGTATTAATGGACTTCTGAAGGTTCAGAGCTGCTCTGACTTAGAACATAGTCTGGCTGTCCTCAGGGCTCGGCCTTATCCCCCTGCCCAACCCCTTCCCCTGCAGTAGGTTGGGACCAGGTTGGAATTCCAACAGCTTCTCTGATGTTCCTGGCTCAGTAGCTAGTTTGTTTTGCTTCTATGCGGACACACAGTTTGATCCAGGCAGCTCCTGGCCCCCAAACTCCTGTGCTTGCTCAGAGGTGCTTGCAGAGCATAGACAGATGGCCTTGGGGGCTCATTTCCCAAATCTTCTCAGCAACTTAGCAGAAAGTTGGCTCAATGATCTATATTAACTTGGAGAACACCAAGATCCTCTTTTCTATCAAGGCATTTCTACGGGGAAGGGGCTTCCACTATTACGTCGTCACAGAAACGTGCCCCACCCCACCCTCCTTTCCCTGTGCAGGCTGGGGGTCCACGCCATAGAAATCTGGCCATGATCTCTGCAGTCCATCTTTGACCCACCTAAACACATGCTTCTGTGTGTTCATGGGACTTAGGCTGGGGGATGGAGGGGATGGGATTCATGTGTGCTTGTTCGCTTCTCCACGTGTCTGTTTTTCCAAAAACACACACAAAAAAATTTTTCTAATTCAGACTGATGGTACTACTGTGTTATGTATGTGTGGCCCCTTTTCCTGGCAACCATTCTAGGCTTGCCTGCAGTTTCCTGCTCCCTCTGGGGCTTAGCCTATTGGCACAAGGATAGAAGTCTTGGGTGCTTCCCTTCTCTCTCCAGCACTTACCCTGTGTCTGCAAATCAGGATCATGACTCAGCCGCCACGCCAGAGCTTCTCACTAAAGCCCACGGCCAGGCGGCTCTCCCAGCTCCTCCCCAGAGCTGCTGGATGGTAATGAAACCACAGTGTCTCCTGGTGGCCAGTGGGACAGGAGCCAGAAAGGGAAATGAACCTTTATTTGTCAAGACCCAAATTGCCCTATACTGTGTTATACGGGTACAGGTGCAAAGGGGAGCTGCAGATGTTGGTGTTTTAGGGGTTCACAAATGATAACCCCTGTTGCTAAGACTGAAAACATTTGAGAGAAAGAGAGAGATTGGAGTCAGAGAAGCTGGAATCTAAATGGAAGCTTTGGTGCTGGTAAAGGTGGGGCTTCACGGGGCAGCTCCAGGGGCTGGCTAACATTCCTCTGAACGGAATGGCCAACCCTTCTGACTTCCCTACTGACGAGACTCTGCGTACTGATTTTACTGCAGTTTCAAGGCAGGAGAACAGAAAGTGTCTTCTCCACAGGAAGAAAAACACAAAGATACAAGCTCGAGGGTGTGATCAGAGCCTGTTTGGTTCCTTCCTTTCAAAAGTCACCAACAGCTCACTCTGGTCTCCTGCCGCAGAGAAGAGCCAGGGGAGGGGAGGTGGCTGGGGACACTGCTCTGGAGACCCGCCCTCATGAGACAGAGCGGTGAATGGTGCTCTATGCAAGCATTTCACATGTTAGCAGCAGGAGGTAAGCATCTGTGAGGACAGTTCTGCTCCCTCCAGGAGGCACCACCTCCAAAATCATTACTGCTCCTTTGGACACCCCCAGAACCACAGCTGTGCAATTAAGCAGGGTCTCAGAAGATATGAAATGATTCAGAACAGTATAGTAGTTAACTCCAAGTCCACATTGGCTGAAAAACTGAGAATAGCTATCTTCCTTTCCCTCCCCAATCTGTCCTGCCATATTTCCCACGATGACAAAATCGAGGACCAGTGCCACGATGAAATGACATCATAATGAACTACCAATAATCAAATGCCAACACCCAGAGATGCCCTGAATCTAAATGTGTTTTACTCTCTTTATAAAAATTTTAGTAAGGGCCCAAGAAAGTCCAATTCCATTTCTTTTTTTCATCAACTGACTCTCTCTGCTCAAATATGGAATGCTGCAGGTCTTGAATCATATTTGTTCCTACTATAGCTTTTTAGTTCTACAAGAATGATGCAAATGTAATCATTTTATTTCCCTTTGCTCTTGCTTAATCCTTTAAGAAAGATTAGGTTGAATTTCCAAAAGTTGAAATTCATCCTGTTCCTTCCCAAACACAGGGATGTTAGTAATAATCACTGGAACTAAATTTTTAAATTTTATGTTTGCATCCTGATCCAAGTCATCAATCCTTCTAATATAGTCTCAATGTTATCTCTACAATCCTCCCTAGTGAGAGATGTGACATTAATGACATCTGGGTCTTCTCAGAAAAGCACTATTAAAGCAAATATTGCATATCTTTGATTTCCTCTGCTGAGTAATCCCATCTACAAGGTATTCTCATTGTTTTGCCTGCTTCCCCTATAATATGCCCCATTTTCCCTAAGCTGTTTCTATGATTCACATTTTTTTTAAAGATTTTATTTATTTATTTGACAGACCGAGATCACAAGCAGGCAGAGAGGAAGGCAGAGAGAAAGGAGGGAGCAAGCTCCCTGCTGAGAAGAGAGCCCAATGTGAGGCTTGATCCCAGGACCCTGGGATCATGACCTGAGCCAAAGGCAGAGGCTTAACCCACTGAACCACCCAGGCACCCCCTAAGATTCATAATTTTATAAATATATTTATATATTGTATCTGTAATAGGCATGCTCTTTCGAGGCACAGGCTATAGCTGATACTCAGAATAGTTTGAGTATTTTCACGGATCTTTTTAGGAATTCCTCAGTCAAAACTGTCTAGATTATACGTAGCCATGCTTATAGGTATGGTTCTGAAAGCCACTCTCACCTTTGAGGAGGCATTCCAATGGAATGAGTCCTCTAAGATCCTGCATGGTTCCTCTTTTAGACTTCTTGGGACCCAGTTACCTGATCTACCTTTGTATCAAGAAAACTTCTCTCTTCTCTAATAACTCCTCTGAAAGCAACTGAACCCAGTGCTTTTCCTCTTCCCTTTAAATCTGTCTTTCCTGGACCTCAGGATACCTTTTTCCTTTCACATGAGAACACAAAGTCTCCTAAGATTTTAGCACTTCTCCCAAGGAAATCTCCTTCCTCCTCCAATTGAGTAAATCTGTATTTTTAATTTTGTTTGCAGTAGTTTGTAAATGGTTAAAAAGAATCTGGTCCCAAATTTCTTGTGTTTGAATCCCATTTCCATCATTTCTTGGCTATATGACTTTTGGAAAATTACATACATTTCTTCTTCAATTTCCCTGTCTGTAGAATGGAGTACTAATTGAATGTTTTTGGCTTCTAACAGGATGCTGAATATATAGTAAAAACCATATAAGAACTTTCCACTATAAATAGTTTTCCTTTGTTCCTATCATGATGGCAAAGAGGAAGGGCAGCATGTAATGTTTCATCCATGCTTTTAGCCCATGAAACTCACTGTGACACTTTGTTCCAGGCACAAGCGCTCTTTCATTTGTCCTCTCAGCTTTTGTAATAATTATGTTGATTGATTTTGGGTCTTTGTGTATACATGATCTAACTTATTTTTCCCTGAGAGTCCTCCTAATTACTTTTTCTTCAAGAGAGAGGGTCTGGCCAGTTTATGCTTGCTATCACATACAATAAATTATTTCTGTCTGGGAGTTCACCAATTACTGATAGTTCACACTTTCTGACTTTCAAGAAGAGTCTTAGAAATATAAATTCTCCCATGACAAGCCACATAATGAGACTTTTTCAATAGGTATGTTCTCACTGTCTGAAAGACTCAGTATTAGATTTGACCTCGTATTTTTAATCTCTTAACAGTAACTAGGAAGGCTGTCATCAACCAGGATTTCAAAAAATATCCAGACAAGAGTAGCTGCCATTTTATAGCTCTCTGTATAATGGAGAGCCCACGCCTACAGTCGTATCATCCAAAATACATATTCTGCACTTTAATTGAGGCATAGGGATGGGAAGAGGTCTATTCCTAAACACAAATAAATCTGTTGGATGTTGTAGATACATAATTCAAATAATCTACATGGAAGATTAAAAAGACATGTCCTTTCTACACATGAAGCCAAGTAGATCTCTGCATTACACTTTTCAGAAAGGACTATTGTTGAATTTGTAATTATGTATCCATGAATAACCAAGGATAGGTGGTGAATTAGTCTCAGTAAAATCCAATGACCACACTTGGGTATGACTCAGAAATACTCAACAGTTCATAAGATTTGATACGTAAGCAGGAGGTAAGTAAGAGACCATGGTCTGTTCAACTCCTAATGAGATATAGCTCTGATCACTGACATTGAACACATTGCAACATTTGGACACTTACTTTTAGATTATTTAAATAGAGACAAATTATGGAAAATAAAGTTAAGCTCCTCTTTACCACCCCCTTTTGGTTCTTTGCCTCTGTGATATATGAGCATAATTTTGGGGTCAGCAAATCTATCTCCTGCTTTTGCTTTTACACTTTTGTTTGCGTATGGGTTTTACCCACAACCACAGTCAAAATACACGGCTATGTGTTAAAAGCTTTTATGTACTTTCCATGGATTAATTTATCTCTAAAAAAGTACCACGAGGCACTTGTAATGATTATTCCCGCCTTAAAGATGAGAAAATTGAAAAGATGAGAGATGAAGTAATTGTGCCATGGTGACATATTTAATAAATGTATAAACTGTCTATGTGATAATTACATCACCAAGACTGATGGCAGGATTTGTGGTGGGGAGAAGTGTAGGGAAAGGAAGAAAGAAGTGCAACACTGAAGGGTCATATTCTGACATCATATGTGTCAAGAAGCCAGATTTTAGATCAGGCAAGGAAAAGGGTCTAGAAACAGCAGGGAAGAGCCAGAAGGACAAAGAACACACTGAAATCAGACATGAAAGCAGGTTCTGCCCCAGTGTAAGCAGAACAGAAACTGAATCTGATTTTTCGCCATTTCCCTCTTGAAAGTCAGGACCCCGGAATGGCAAAAAGTGGGATAATTATAATAATTTGGGGGTATGGCAGAACTCATTGAACCTGAATCGCCCTGGGCAGTCAGAATTCAGGCATCTCTGCACCAGTTGCCAGAGATGCTCCAATAAGCACTGAGAAGGGATCAGTGCCTTAAATAAGACCATAGAAGAGAGTAATTATGACCGTTCAGAATGGATTGCAGAATAGAATGGAAGTGTCTAGAACAAATCAGAGGAAAAACACTGGTTCATGACATAGGATCAGGAAGAAGGAGGGCAAAGTAAGTGTGTATAGGTCTGCACATGTGTAGATATTCAGTGTGGAGCCCGTATTTATTGTCCTAGAGTAGGCAGCTGAAGAGGACCCATCAGCACTGAGTGTCACACAGCCCTCGGCTGGCACTGGCCTCTGCTGTCTGTCCTCAGGCAGGACAGAGACTGCTAAACCGCAAGATTCCAGAAGTGGTAGCTTGTAGCTCATGGACTAAACTGTTCGCTTTACCTGTATCTGAGATGTTCATTCAATGTAATGAAAAGGCCCCCCATAAATGTCAAGTTACATTAATATTAGAAAGGAATGCCCACAATCACAGTGAAGAGCCTTCTGTTATAATCAGGAAAATGTGTGGTGGGTGGGGAAATTCTGTTAACACCTAGTGTTAGAAGAGAATGAAGAGGACAGAGGAGTCTGAAGACATTGGTTATCAGGAGCACCTACCATACAGGTGGGGGTGGCAAATGCAGAAGGCAGGAAAATCTACAGAGCAGGTCATTAAAGTGTATCTGACCCGGGATGAGTTCTGAGCTCACAGCTTGGGAGGAAACCCTGAAATCCATTTCCTAAGTTATTTCCTCTATGAGGAAATTTTCTATGTTGATTTTCTATGTTGATACCTTATCATTTTCTGTCCTTGTCAGGCCCCCAAACCCACTCATTTCTCTTGGTGAAGGAGCAGGGAAGACTTTTACTCAGGACAACTGGGGGTTTGAGGCAGAATGGGAAGCTTGAGGGTTTCTGTACAGGGAGAGGGTGACTATGCAGCTCTGTGTCTACACTGCTGGCACACAGGTATGTGGCTGAGTCCTGGGGTTCTGTGGGCTTGATCTTCAGGGTGGACAATGATTTTTTTAGACATCTCTGCTGAGAACTGTTCCTTGGGCATCCCCGAGTCATCTATAGGAGATTGATTGTTGAAGTAGATCAGCAGCTTCAGTCCCTGCACTGAGGTCTGACTATACCAGTAAAGGCCTTCATGACCAGAAATAGGCTGGCATTTCAGGGTTACTTCTTGTCCCATCTTTGTCACCTTGTGCCTGGGTGTCTGGATGACTCCAGCATCTGTAAACTCTGTGGAGGGGACAGAATGTGGGGACAATAAGAAAAATATTGGAGTCACAACAGGGAAACCCAGAATGAGAAGGCTACAAATTCTGGGGATTCACCTACCCATAGGAGACAAAGGACCCCTAAGAGACAGAGGGCCGGGGTGCCCATCGCAGGGTGAAGGCAGATGTGGAACAGCCCAGACCACGGCCCTTGTGAGCATGAGCAGAGTTGTGAGTTCAGGGACACCCTATCTCCAGGAGATGTGTCTGTCAGTGACATCACTAAATAAGCCACCAACCCCAACTCAGGAGCTCTCTGGGAGGTGGCTGCATCTCTGAGAGATGAATCAGGCACAACTAAACCCAATTACAATTGCCCTGAGATTCAAATTTACACAACCAGAGCCAGCCAACTATCCCATTTGAACCTAAATTCCCAAGTATTTATAGATAACTTCATGTCTCCCTACAAGCTAGCTTCTCTACAAGATCTCATACTCCCCTCACTGGTGGCTAAATGCTCCTGGTCCTATACACATGGTCAAAACCATCCATCGGTTAGTTAGGAGCTCTGAGCTAGCTCTCCAGGGAAAACAAGAATACCAACAGCACCGTTAGGGCTCCAGGAGCTGAACTGATGCCCTGAGAACTGATTAAATTCGAAAACCCTTACTTGCAGTGAAAAACCTCTCAGAGTTTACTTATCTCTGAGCTTTATTAAATTCTCAAAGCCCATATGACAGAATCTCCTACACTTCTCTATCTTCAACATGAAGTAAGTGGGGGATTTTCTCATTCTTGAAGATTGGCACATAAAATTCTCGAGCAGATTTAAATATTATTCTTACTCTTAGAAAAACTCATTGTTTTTAAATCAGTAACACTGAGTCTTTCCCTCTAAAAGGGGTCTGATGCCAGAAATGCACTTCCACTCATGGTAGAGGTTATGGAGAGCAGAGAGAAACCTATTTTTTGGGTTGGTCAGTTAAGTTAATCAAGAAGAAGGACCAGCTCAAGTACATATTTTGTGGTTAGTATAGAGACACTGCTGAGTCCTCTGAACCTGAGGACCACATGTTAATTTCATTATTTTTTAATTTTTAAAAAATATTTCATTTATTTATTTGAGAGAGAGAGAGAGAGAGAGAGAGAGAGAACAAGCATAAGCAGGGAGGGGCAGAGGGAGAGGGAGAAACAGACTGCCTGCTGAGCAGGGAGCCAGACTTGGGGCTCAATTCCAAGACCCTGGGATTATGACCTGAGCTGAAGGCAGATACTTAACTGACTGAGTCACCCAGGTACCCCGACACATGCTAGTTTAATTTTATTTAATTTTATTTTTTAAGATTTATTGATTTATTTATTTGACACAGAGAGAGAGAGATAGTGAGAGATAGAGAGAGCAGCAGGAGGCAGAGGGAGAGAGAGAAGCAAGCTCCCCACAGAACAAGGATCCCGATGTGGGGCTTGATCCCAGGACCCCAGGTTCATGACCTGAGTCGAAGGTAGCCACTTAACTGACTGAGCCACCCAGGTGCCCCCACATGCTAATTTTAAAGAGCAGATATTTTTCAGACTGGATTATGCTACCTGAGGTACCTGCTTCCCTTGTGGGGTCTATTGGTTTCTAGTGGGTCCAGAGTGTAAATCTCTGAGCATTATTCTATTTCTAAAAATATCATTGTTTGTTCCTTCCTTGTTACTTAGGTAACATTGTTACTAGGTAAGGTTACTTACCTTAGGTTACCTTGTTACTTAGGTAAGGTTACTTACTACTTCCTTGTACTTAGGTGTGGGAGACAGAATGATGGCCCCCCAAAGATGTCCATGTCTCATCCCTGGAATTGTGGGTGTGTTACATTACATAACAAGGGGGAATGAAAGTTCCAATTGGAATTAAGGCTGCTGATCAGTGGAACTTAATATAGAGAATGCATACTGAAATTTGCACACGGGGACAGTATAATCAAAAGGGTCCCAATATGTGGAAGAAGGAGGAAGAAGAGTCAGAGTCAGAGTGATACAGCCTGAGAACGGACTTGACCAGTCATCACGGGCTTGGAAGACACTAGGGACACAGTGTCCCTAGAGCCTCTAGAACCCTGCTAACACCTTGGTTTTAACCCAAGTAGATTCATTTTGGACTTCTGACTTTCAGAACTGTAGGATAATAGATCTGAATTCTTCTAAGTCACAAAACATGTGGTAATTTGTTAGAGCAGCAATAGGCATTGAATAAATTACAGTATCCAGGGGACTCGGGCAGAAGAGGCAGTAGCTGGATACAAGCTAAGGTTGTGGGAGAGAGACACAGTCACATAGAAAGAACTTGAAGTCAGGACAAAGGAAGTCCAAGCAAAACCTTCTTTCTCTCTCTCTCTTTTAAAGATTGTGTTTATTTATTTATTTGAAAGAGAGAGAGTGAGCAAGAGAGAACAGAAGTGGGGAGGGGTAGAGGCAGAGGGAGAAGCAGACTCCCCTGCTAAGCAGGGAGCCCAATGTGGGCTCGATCTCAGGGCCCTGGGATCATGACCTGAGCCAAAGGCAGACACTTAATGGACTGAGCCACCCAGGTGCCCCCAAACCTTCTTATCTCTTATCCCCAGACATCATCGCTTCTGGGGGTACATGGGAGTCTGGAGCAAATGGCAAAGCAAAAGTACATTGTGGCATCTTCCTGGTGAGAACAGAAGACTTTGGGGAGAAATTCTGTTGTTCTGGTCCACCCCAGTCCCTGCTTGGAAAGTAGATTTATGGGTGGTGTCCCTGTGATTGCCAGCTCCCTGGGGCCAGAGTCACTCTGATGTGGTCCAAGGTAACATCTGCAGGTCTCCTTGCTTTACCCTCTGTGGAACCACAGAGCAGGTGGGCTGGCTGGGACTGGTTTGGGTCAGGCTGGATAAGATTTCTCTGACACTCAGCTTTCCCTAGCTCAGAACGTGTAAGCCTCACTAGCCCCAGCTCTGTGAGCTCCCACACCTTCAGCAAACCACTACGAACATACCTGCCATTCAGAATCTGGTTCAGAGCAAAAACATCTCCACAAAATAGAGGAAGAAGTCTTGGTCTTTAATTCCTTCATTCTCAGCCATCATTCAAGGCAGCTACAGCTCCCTGAATCTAAACCCAGCCCCAGGGTTTAACCCTTAAACCCTCTCCTTCCAAGTTGCTTGTTCAGTCCCTCTGGACTCTAGATAGACAGCGAGGCCACAGTGCCTCTTAGTGGCCAATGGGAAGAAACAGCACTAATGTGCTCTCTTGTCCAGACAGAAGGGGAGCTGTGCTTAGTTTCATTGAGTACAAAGTATATGGGTGTATGATTGGTTAATATTAGAGGGTCACCACCTAATATTATCTCGTTGTGGCCTAAGATGGAACAGAGAGTCAGACATTGGAGCTAGACAGGTGGACATGATAATGTCCTTTTTGATATTGGTAAATAATGGGGTTCAGATGGGAATCCCAATAGGTTGGCTGACACTATACTGAGTCAAAATTTAACCCATTTTCTCTCTCCTCCAAATTGCAGGCTACCTTGAATGAAAAAGAAAGTTCTCCACGAATCTTAGTGTGTGTTGAGAAAACACCAAGGAATCGATCTCTTCTCTAAGTATCAGGAGGAAGGAACAAGGAGGAAGAGAGACTAGAGAAAGATGAAGAAGTTAAATGAGATCATTTATTTCCCTTCCCTGAGAGAAAATCTGATAAGGAATCGAAAGATTAGAACAGGAGTATTACTGGGCCACCTGGGTGGCTCAGTTTGTTAAGTGTCTGCCTTCAGCCCAGGTCATGATCCCTGGGTCCTGGGATCAAGCCCTGCTTCTCCCTCTCCTTCTGTCCAGCCCCTCTACTTGTTCTCACTCTCTCTCTCTCTCTCTCTCTCTCTCACAAATAAATAAATAAAACCTTAAGAAAAAAAAAGAACAGCAGTATGACTTTAGGGAAGTCTCCCAAAATAGGAAATATGGAATAAAATGATGTCTCAGGAGACTGGGTTTAAGAGGAGAAGATGGAGTCACTTGTTAGTTATTCTCCCAATTCCAAGCACTGCTCCTTGGGTGTACTCATGAAAAACCAGCTCAAATGTGTCATGACAGTGCAGCAATTAAGTGAATTCTAAGTCCATTCTGCGCTTCCTGCTCAAGCCTAAATATTCACTTCTTAATCTATTTCCCATCCTGCCACATGGTCCAATGACATGCCAGAGGTTATGGGATAAAAGTAAAAAAGAACATAAAAGTACTCCAATAATAATCCAATAATAAATACTGCAGTAATAAAATGACAAAAACCAAATATTTCAATTTGATTATAAATACCCTTTACATTTAAAAAAATTTCTCCAGTTGAAATTAAAGTTTAAGCATAACATCTCTATGCCATTTAAGTTAAATACAAAGAAATTATAGACTAAGAATCTACCATTAATGAATTTTGATTTAAAATTCCAAATAAAATTCCTTGACCTCAGTCCTTGGAATTAAAAATAAGAGCACTCAAATCAATCCTTCTGTTATTCCCCAAATAGTTGAGTAAAAATAACAACATCAAAAATCTCAATTAATGCCCCCAAAACATAGTGGGAGACACAAGGTTGGAATCTTGGAGAAACTGAGTGCCTGGAAAGGACATCTTTGCCTTTGGGGACATTTGCCTACCCTAACTCAGAGATCATGAGGCTGACTCACCTCCAGGGGGACAAAACTGAAGTCCAGAATGTACCAAATGTACATGAATTAGCAGATTCAAAGTAAAGATGAGCTAGAGATAAATCTGCTCCAGGCCACCTCAAGCCTTGAATTCTGATTCAGGTAGCCCAAGCTTGTTTATACCCCATATATTTGGCAGAAGCAAAATGAAATTCTCTCTGGAGGAAGATCCATCCATCCTAGCAAAAATTTATTCCTACAAATCTAGTATCTGGCACAAAGCTGAAGACAATCAGTTTCATAAGGAAAAATACAAACACCATGAAAATATGAAGATCATGACTGAGAAGGAGCAGAAAAAGAAGATGGACAAAAATAGCCCCACAAAGATGTCAGATATGAAAATGTTCAGACAGACTCTGAAACAACTGTATTTCCTCTCTATGAAGAGATAAAAGACAATCTTAGAAAATGTTATTAGGCTAAGAGTAATATAAAATATAGTAAATGAACCAAGAAAAAGAGACCAAAAAAAAACCAAACAGAGTCTCGAATATAGAGAACAAACTGGTGGTCACCAGAAGGGAGGTGGGTAGGGGAGGGACAAACAGGTGACAGGGATGAAGAGTACATGTATCATGATGGGCACTGAATAATGTGTAGAACTGTTGAATCACTGCATTGTACACCGGAAACTAATATAACATGGTATGTTCGTTTACTGGAGATATATATATCAGCAGATTGGAAAAAGAACCAAGTAAAAATTCTAGCACAGAGATGGTGGGTAGTTGCATTCATCAATAGCTAAGGTTGTCAGACAAACTGGATGAAGATATGGGCAGAGCGGTTGAGAAGCTATGCACCAGATAAATAGACATGGACATAAATTATGACTTGCCTCTTGGTTGGATAAGGAAAGAAGTAAAGCCACAGAGGCTGAGGGGCAGTGACAGGGTTTTCAGGAAAATCTTGGTAGGCTGCTTTCTAAAAGGTTCTAACCAATGGCTCAGGATAGTGGCCAGTATTATCTTAGAGAATCTGACAGAATTTATAGTGAAGGATACAGATCTCAACACAAAGGGTGTTAACTGGAGAGTTAATAGGAGGGCATAAATGGATCAGGGGCAACTGGTTGTTTCGGGGAAGTACTTACTGAGGAATATTTAATGCCCAGGGGAGCTATTTTGATGTGCTAAGGCAGCCTACTGGAGATGCCCTCAAAGACTCTGAACTTGGGCTTAAGCCTGGGGCGCAGTGCTGAACTGTGTGCCTTCCTCTGAAGAGTTAGATCGCTCTGGAGAAAGAATTCATTTTGAGCTAAGATTTGGGACCGGATGCCAGGATATCCATGGTGTGTATTCTTTTGAAGTCAGAAAAGGGCTGAATAAAACAGCTGAAATTATCATCAACATCATCATTAACAACATCAGGAGAACAGAAAATACGTTCCCCAAGCACATATGGTGTTGAGACTTTGACGCAGAAAACTTCCTACAAGCAGAGGAGAAGCTGGAGAGCAATTGAATCATTTAGACAGAGTTAAGAACCACAAAGGGAGAGTCTGCTGTTAGCTACTCTTGAAGAACCACTGTCTGTATTATTAAAATTTTTTGTACATGTTTTGTGATTGCATATTTTATAGGGGAACAGCCACCGCTGGCCCCTGGGACCTGAGTGTGTGACTAGTCACTGCCGGTGTGGGATCCTTGAATTATCACCAAAAAGTGCTTCTAAACCCTGAGTCATAATTATTTTCAAATAACATTTTTTGTCCTCATGTTTCAAGATATAACCCCTGGCTCCCCTTTATATGAATCATAGCTTATCTCTGCAAACCCACTTCTAGCCTTCACATAATGAGGGACAAGGTAAGACCTCCATTTAGAGGTTCTGTGAGCTGAATAGAAAGGAGAATCATAATGTTTTGTGTGTAGAAATGAGGTGCCTCTGTGATATTGTGGCTAGGCTAGTTGCTGGCACAGAAATACAAAACCGAATCCCAGCTCAGCAGGCTAGACCTTGAGAGTAGAGTCTGCTCCTTTGGGCCTCTCTGCAGAAGATCGGTTCTGGGGCAGCTGTGAATATCTAATGTGGCCTCGTTCTCAAACGGAATCAGAAGCTCCAGGCCCTGTCCGAGATCTGTCCATACTAGTAAAGGGTTCTGTGGACAGAAATGGGATCACAACACAAAGCTACGGTCTGTTTTTTTCTGTGATCTTATGTATGAGAAACTGAGTGACTCCACCTTCTACGAGGTCTGTGAGCAGACAGAATTTGAAAATGGAAAAAAAAAGTTGAAGAATGGAATAATCACTGGAAAGATAAAATGCAGAGAGATCTTAGTGTTCTAAGGACTCAACCATCCTCTCAGAAGACAGAAAGCAACTCAGTGCAGGAGGCTGGTGCCCAGGGAAGGGTCAGGACAGGAATGGGAGGTTTACCAAGTCAAGTCAGGGTCCTTGTGAACATGAGCAGAGGAGGATGGCATCCCTTTGTCCCCAGGAAGCAGCTCCTGTTGTGACAAGACCGTTTCCACAAATGGCCACAGACTTAGAAACCAAGTGTTATAAACTATACCCTATCTAGAAGGTTATTTGTCATATCTGCAGACTGTGTACACGTCCATCTGAGTGTCTTCACACTCTGTTCCAGGGGGCGAGCAATGGGATTGACCAATCTCTACATTTCCCACCACCTTCTAATTCTGCTGGATGTTTCCACTGGGATGTATCAAACACAACTCGCATGTGAACTATAACATCATAATCTCTTTGTATTTTCTGGAATCATTCTTCTCTCTGGATACTTTTCTTTCACCGGGCTCTTCATCCTTTCTGTCACACGAGCTTAAACAGGACAGAGGCTAGGGAAATTGCTATAGCATTATCCTGGAAGCACATGGAACCAAGTGACTCACTCAAAGGTAAAGGGATGAAGGTACCCTGAGTGCAGATGAAGGTGGAAGCTTTTATTCCATCTAAAGCTCAAAGCCTAGTTTCCTCCTTGCTTGCCCCAATCTCCACAGTGCTTTATGCACCAAGGTCTTCATCATGGGACTTCTTGTACATCTCTTTCATCAATGTAGTATCTTGAATTTTATCCGGGGAAGCTGGAAAACTCTCTAATTCCTGAAAATACCAGAGTGGATACAATAGCAATAAATACAAAATAGAACAGACCTTCTGGAATCTTAAAAAAACCTTCCAGCTTAACTTACAACTGAATTCAGTGATTAGCATCTTCCTTTCTTCTCCTTCTCCTCCTCCTCCTCCTTCCTCACCTCCTCCTCCCCATTCTTCTCCTCCTCCCCATTCTTCTTCTTCTCCTCCTCATTGTTCTCCTTCTCCTTCTTCTTCTTTTCTTCTTCTTCCTTATCCTTCTCCCTCTTCCTCTCCCCCTCCTCCTTCTTCTTCTTTTCCTCCTCCTCCTCGTTTTT